CTGATTACAATGCCTATCTACACGCACTAATTTTACGTATTCAAACCTGATTGATAATCTGTACCCACTTAGCATCTGGTAAAACAATCTAGAATAATGAAGATAAGTAAAGAGAAGAGTTTGGGTTGATTTTCACATCGAATTTTTTTTCCATAACAATTATTTATCCTAAATTGATTCGAAAACTTTTTAGAACAACATGCTTGTACATCTTTTCTGATATAACATTTCCAATACACGCAAACCGTATAGCATTTAAATATCGAACATGCAATGCAGTTTACACATAATTATATTATTTTGCAGTATCTGGTTGAACATAGTACAGATACAACACCTAGTAAAATGTTCTAGAAGTTCTTCACTAATCTGGAAATAAAGCTACATTGAGTTTGATTTTTGGCTTTACTTTTAGCTATTGTTACTCTTTTGAACAAATATACATAAAAATTAACAATTACACATCCCGATAAACACGCGTAAAAAATCAAACACGGACATATATACATAAACTCTAGTTTATTTGAGCCATTCGTTTATCAGCCAGTGATAGATCATACACAGCGAGGCCAAATTGGATAAGTTTTCCAGCAGATAAACAAATTCCGGTAAGACTAAATCACGTTGAAATGTAAACGGTTTCTTTTTGAAAATCTTTTTGGTTGTGGACTGACATCTATACCCAATCATAAATCTCAATCGAACATGGGGAAACCTATATGTTCATTTCAGATTAGCCGCTGAATACAAGATATGAATGTGAGCCCAAAACAATGCTGTGTTTTTTTCTTGTCCAAAACTGTTCAATTTGAAGAAGAGAAAAAGAGTCGATAAAATTACTATCAAAAGTTAGAAAAGATGTGCTCTTGATTATACAAAACAAAGTCTTTATCAGCTATTTCATTTCCAATTCAAGATAAGACTTGTTCTATTTTTACCGCATAAACAACGCCTCTGCAGGCGCATGCTTTCATCATTTGATTCATAATTTTACCCGTTTCAATTCACTTTTTGCTCTCCGTTACCGCAAAACTTTATAAAATTTTATGTGTAAGTTTTGACTGATTCCGCTCAAGAACGTACAGTTTGTGACAAGACTGGTCACGGAGATTTTCTTTCCTTATTAGACAACAATTAAATTCAAATAATGATAATTGGACCACACTTAATCACATATTTTCCATTAATGATATCTAATTCCATTTATATCTTTTGAAAATAAGGTTTAAAAGGCCATGCGAAAAGATGAATTTTTGATCATCGGAGTTTATATCATCGATTCAGTGCAAATAGCCAAAGTTAGGCTAATCAAAGATCTAGATTTATTCATCTCCTTATGAGTGCATTCCTCTTTCGTAGAGTCAAATTGGATCTTCCCAGGAAGTCGAGAGGCCCAAGTCGGCCTGGAAATTGAGCCATCAGCTTCACCTTGTTACTCTCGTTGCAGAAATCAGTCTAACAAAGAGCCCTTGGAGCAGTCGGCAGACAACCGATATTAGCTAAATGTAAACGCCAGTTGCTCGCAAAATACAAGAAAAAGGATCGGAACGCATCAATCTCTGTTATACGTGGCGTCAATTTAAAAGTTTTCAGTCTGTTTTGTGTTTTGTGCTGCTTTTTTCAAATAGTTATTTTACTAATGTTTAGTTGTTTGTTTTGTAATCTAAATTAAATAAAACAAAAAGAACAATTTTTTTTTGCTCTTAATTCTTTAAAATTAAAAAAAACTGTGTTCCAATTAGAATCATGTCTAAAAAACGGTCGTTCTAGAAAATTCAAGTTCATAAAACAAGATTTAGTTGTTTATTTTGCACAAATTCAAAATTTTTTGAAAGTTTTCTTTATTACTGAAAAAATGAGTTGAACCAGCTTAGAACAACTTTTGTTTTCTCTAAAACATACCTTTTACCGTTAGTTTTATCATAGTAAAAAGATTACTTTCTAAGATACTGTAACTCAAACGATCGATATTGCATAAATACGGGGGTTAAAGATGAAAAAAGAACAGTTGAACCTATGTTAAATAGTTTTTTCAGAACTAACTACATTTTTTCGATCAACAAATATTTTGATGATTTAGCGAGAAAACAACATAATGTGCAACTCTAGTCAATGTAACTTGGTCTACGGTTAAATCTGCAGCCTAATATTCAACTGAAGATATATCAATCTACAGAACCATCAAATGAATGGAAAAACTAAATTTTCTAAATAGATTATAAATCTCAAAACAATGACTAAAATTTTTGTTTCGAACCAAAACTTCCACTGACTTAAATTTTCTATACAAAACTAAATAATTACTTGAGAGCAGTTTTTGATGTGTCAAAAAACTCTATTCGGACCGTCGATCAAAAAATTTTCAACAATTTGTTTTGACGTTTTCCCGTCCAATGCAAGTTAGTAAGCCTTGGTTTTTTCTTCTGACCACTAAAAATGCTTCTCATGACTCACTGGTCATATTTGAGTAGAAGTTTGATACCGTTGGAAAATTCGTTTGGGAGATCGACAGAAAAATTAAAAAATTGTTCATCACCATTTTTTATTTTTTTAAAGATGAAAGCTGGCATTTCTTGGCTGAAAGATGGCATTTCTTTGCAAATCTCTGCTTGCGACTTTGACTGTATTTGAATATATCTATATGTAAAACGTAATGATTATATTTTTGTGTGAGTATTTGTGTTTATAAGCAAATCCAAGTTAATATCTTTTGTGTATGCGTGTACGTATGCAAGTTGATGTGTTTGTATGTATGATTACAATTTTTTTCCTTACGCGCTTGTAAACCAAAACAATTGTAACTAGAAGAATAAATATAACCCAACTTGATTTTTACTAATGTTTCTAGATTTTCGTGAAGGTTTGACAAGATACTATATGCATAGTATATATGTACGCACATATGCTTTGCGTATGTGTGTATTTATGTAAACTGTATAAATCTATGTAAAAGTGTACAACTTTTTGCTTGTATAAAGGTAATTTATCAGGTTATATTCATTTGTATGTATTCTACTATTTGTTATACTATATTCTATTATTTGTATTCTATTATATGTTATACTATTTATGTGTATTCATTTGATTAATTAGAAGTTGTGTAAATTTGTATGTTTTTATGTAAGAAAGATTTCTTGACTGCATGTCCGCTTGATTGAGTGAATGAGTTCAAGCAAATATTTTGTATCAGTGTATGTTTTTAGCCAAGTACTTATGCATATTCATATATGAGTATGAAAGGCACGTTTATTTGATTGTATGTAGAGACGTATGAATTCCAGTGTCAGCAAAATTTGCGTGTGTGTCTATTTATGTAAACTATGTATCTATAAAAAAGTGTAATACTTTTTGCATGTATAAATGTCATCAATCATGTATCTTCATACTAGTTGTGTGTATTCAATTGAGTATTTAGAATTTATATATATTTGTATGTTTTTATGTAAGAAGAACTTTTGACTGCATGTCCGCTTGATTGAGTGAATGAAGACCAGCAATTATTTTGTATCAATGTGTATTTTTCAGTTTAAAATCATTTAAAAATTTGCTTGTTTGCAAATTGTACAAATTTATGATTGAAGTTTTATGTCTGTTTAAAAGGAAAGTGTGTACACATGAGTCGTTACATGCTTTTAAAGTACGATCCATGTCTGTTTGTCGGCAAGTATCTACGTATTTTCGTATATGAATATGAAAGACACGTTTATATGATTGTATGTAAAGACGTGTGAATGCCGGTCTGTATTGCCTGAAAGTGTTGTATTTGTCCACATTCACTCTTTTGTCTGAATGTGTATATATTTGTCTTGAAAGTGTGAAGTGAATGTAAGCTGGTTGTTTGTTTAAATTGGGTTCTATTTTAAAGGTCAGCCAAAAGATTAAGTCAAAATCTTTTTTATGTGTGTAAGCACTTCTCGTATAATTGATTGCAGGTTTAAAAGTATGTAAGCAAGTATGTAAAATTTATGTATCTATGGTAGTTTATTTGCATTCTTCTTCTGTATAAGACTATGTACGTTTGTATTCATACCTTTATCTAAGACTTCATTTTGAATGTTTGTATGTATGGAAGTATTTTTGCATATATGTATGTAATTTTGTGCGTATAGTTGTATGAATGTCTCCAAGTAACTTTAAATTTGTATGTATATATGTAAGTACGTTTGTATGTATCTATGTATGCATGCATGTATGTAAGTATGTATGTATGTATGTATGTGTTTATGTAAGTTTGTGCTTATGTATGCATGTATGTATGTTTGTACTCAGTAAGTGTTTATGTCATTATTTTTTGTATGTAAATTTGTATGAATAACTTTATGTAAGTATTTAAATGTGTATGAATAAACGTATGTATGTAATAAAATAGCTATGACTATTTTTTGTGAGTATGCATTTAAGTTTGCAACTTATGAAAATGTCTTTATGTTTCTTAAGTTTACATGTATGCAGCTTTATATGTTTGGTGGGTATGTATGTTTGAGTATAGTTGTAAACGTTTATTTTATTTCATATAGAAGTATATATGTAACTCAATCCAAACCTTTCCTATATTTCTTCTTAAAGTTTCTCGAATATTCTAGAATAATCAACCAGACACTATATTGATAGTTTGTTTCATTTTCTTGATTTGCAAAACAATTTGATAATTGTTTTTAAAAACTTTCCTCGAAATTTTTGATCCTCCAGATATCCTCATTTTGAACAATTCAATTTGAAAAAGTGGCATATGCTGCATTGATAATTTCAATTTATCTGCAGTCAATGATTATAAAAAATGTTTGAAAATTGTAACAGAAAAATCAATTTTCAAGTTTTCACAAAAAATTGTCGATGGAAGCATCAAATAACAAGTCCAATTGGAGACAGCATGGAGTCCAAAGCGTTTGATGAACTGTTGCTCATAGAGATAAAAAATACGAAAACAAAATTATTAGAAAAAATTTATGGTTTATTGAGGAAAATGATTGATCGTGCAGACGAACACGATCGATAGAAGAATGGTTGAAAATGACATAATGCTGGTAGAGCTGAAGACGGTAAGCGAGCAAAGCCTGAGTGACAGGTACTGTATATTTGAAGGATGATTGATCAATCTCTAAAAACCACAAATTTTCAATGGTTTTCATTTGAAAAATCATAATTTTGAATCAAACTTATAAACCCACAGAAGTGAAGCAATTGTGTAATCAGATAAACAGTCAGTACAACTTTTTTAAATTCAAGATTTATTTAGTCGATAGAGCATTTTATCAAATAGCTCAAAATGCTTACGCCTTTTGCCTTTGAAATAAATAGCAAGTCTTTCTGTATTGAGGCTCAAAAATTTAATTCCTCAAAGTAAAAATGTCTAACAAATTTTATTCTGGCAAATTAAACATATCTTTCTAAGTCATTCCATTTTAAGATAACACAACATAATTGACGTTTATCAAAATGCATTGAAACTAAAAAATAGCACACAAGTTTTCGGAAACTGCTGTAGCCAAATTGGTGTGAGAGCATTGCTTAGTGTGAAACAGCTATCGTCCTGACGGAATCCGAAGATTCAGGTAGAGTGTTGATCATAAGGCTTGATTTTTTTTCTTACTATTTCAAACAACTAACGGTTTTTCGAAGACAAGTCTTTTTAATAGAGAAGACAAATATCGATGCAAAATTGAGAAGAAATATCATGATGCGAAATGTTTGGATCCTGCTAGTGATCAGAACGTGAATGTGAAAGCTTGAATCATCTCAGACTTATATTGAAAGGAAGGTTGATCTCTCAATAACACAATTAGTTGTAGATGAGTAATCAATTATTTTGGTCAAAAAGCCACCGTATTTTGAGAGGAAATAGCGTAATCATGGAAACATTCAAAAGATCAGATTCATATTAAAAAACTCAAAATTTAATTTGTTGAGCAGAGGGTTAATCAATGATAAAAACTGATAGCGCTTCAAACTTTTGAATAGAAAGCTCTTGCTAAAACCAATTTGAAATTAATAAGAAGATACTGAGAACAGTTGACCAGATTCTAGTATCAAATTAAAAAGTTATTTATTTGCATATTCTTTTAAGGGAAAAATAAAAAAATTTGGATGCTCAAATTATAACTCCGAATTCATATCAAGTTTTGAGTCTGTATCCATAACTTGTCTTAGCTTGTGTTCAGTCTTTGCCGATTGAATTTGCTCTAATTTGAATATCTGCTTTCCTTAAAGGTCGCAAATAAGTTTTCACCTGCTTTATTCGATGGTCACTCTGTTCTGTCGTATATATTGGCACACAAATAACAGTTTTCTCCCAGTTTCTAGGACCGCTTTGATGAATATTCTCAAAAAATCTGTTAGCACAAAACGTTAATAGGAAATACTTAACGTTTTCTAGAAGCCCCGAAAATTCTTTCCTTTTTAAAGTGGTATATGCAAGTCTTAGAAATGGCTGCAGCAAAATTAATGGGCAATTTTGGCTTGCATCAATGTTCTCGTTTTTCAAGATCTTTACCCACTTCAACTTATTAGCTCTTTCAAACTTTCAATAAAATCAAAGCTTTTGTCATAGATTTCAGACGTTTTTTCAGTCTTCTGTAGACACGGAAAATGGAAATGTAGAAATTTTCAAGCCAATTTCATTATTTTAGAGTTTTCAGTGTTTCGTAATTTTTCTTTGTTTTTACCTTCATTTGGTTTAAAGAAAATTTTCATTATTATTTTGGCCAAATTGATCATTTATTTCTGCCTAAATAGAGGTGGCGGCAGCCGTATTTGACGAATTTTCCTTTCTTCGAGATTCAGCAATAAAACATGCAATTTTGAAGGAAATCGTTCGCCGCAGCCAACAGTTAAGCTACGCTGCCATATAGTTTGGTTGCATATAATAGGTATATAACGTCATTTTACATGTAAACAAGCCAATACCCCCAAACTTTAGAAGGGAAAACATGCACCAACCAAAACCTAATTCCTTCCCCGTTTCCATAAAGTGGCTGGAAAATTACCAATTTTAACCCCCCTTAAAACATTCGTGCCCGAAAAAATAGGGGCTTTAACCCCTTTGGGGGTTAAAAGTGGTAAGTACAACGGCACACTGAATTTTGGGTGGGGGGGTTAAAAGTGGTCATTTTCCTAGCCACTTTTACTATACTACTCAAATCCAATCACTTTTTTTACCATTTTCTTTTGAAAATTGATTTGATAAAAATATCTGAAAGGAGTTGGTTTAAAGTTCAAGTCACCTGCCAAGAACAGTTGGCATGCCATATCAAAATTGAACAGAAAGCGCAGAAAGCGTTTTCAAGATCGAATTGAAAACCTAGAAAACTGAAAAACAATGAAATGAGAGGAAAAAGGGTGTAATAATTCAAACTTTCATTGTGTTGGTACTTATTTTTTTCAAACAGTGTTAATCTGATGTCAATAAATTTTTTTACAAAATTTTTTTTGGTTATTTTCTTGATAAAAAGCTTTCAAATTCGGTAGATGCTATAGTAATGTGCATCAATGTTTGACTTTGAATTTTTTTTGTCACCGTTTTTGTTGGTTCTGATAACGTTTAAATGCTGAGCTGCAGTTTAATAAGCAACTGGCTGGAGAAACGTTACAGAACAAATTCTAAAATGTGATGAGAGTACATTTTTCTGAATGTAGAGTGATTGTATTGCATTGTTCAGTTTGGAAAAGCAATCGAAATAGAACTCTGCGGATTGTGAAAACGAGCCACACCTCCGGTTATGCCACGCAGAATAAGGAAGAAGTTAACTATGACTATGAAGAAGCTAACTTTTTGGACCAAGTTAACATCCCCCCTCCCCTTCCAAATCCGTTAAGGAGGGAGTATGTTAACTTGGTTCTAAGCTCGAATTTTCAGCTAATCAGAATAGAGCATTTTACAGGCAGCGCTTATCAAATTTAATTTAAATTCATTGCTGGTGTTGAGGATCTTAACTTGGTCTATTTGGGGGGAGGATGATAACTTAATCCAACTTTTTTATGCAATGGTTTGCAGTATTGCGGTCTAGCTTTTGGTGAATCTCTTGCGGTCGCTCTGTGGCTTAAGGAAAACGAAACGAACTCAACAGATTGGCAATCATTGAACATGTTAAGATGATTTAGAATTCGAATATATAACACTTTCTGGAACATTCTGTTTTTGCAATTCGGGTAAACCAGAAGAAAATTCTCCATCTGAAGTGGAAGTCAAAGTTCTTCTGTTCTCGCTGAAATACGAAAGGAAAAAATCTAATGACAACAAAACGATAATTATGCTTCCTTTCTTTTTTTGCTTCCCCAGTAAAAGAACCGAAACGCGAAGCAAGTTGTAAATATGTGCCATAAATTCAGGATCACAGAACAGACTCTAATCAACGGTTTATTGAAACATGGCTAAAAATGTGACATGTAAAGCCATAAACTTACGCAAAAAATATAGAATTAAATTTACAAAATCTAGATTTGAAAAGTTGAAAAAGAAAAACAGAAATGATGTTATAAATTATCACGTAATTACAGTTGGATGATTGAAATAAGTGCAAGAGTATTCCAAGCTAACAACAAGATGTGTGACACTTTTTCATGGCCTATCTAAACTTTGTTATTATTCTATTGAAGTCCTGACAATGTTGGAAAGAAGCGAAAACTTTGAAATTTGGGTTCAGAGATTCAAAACCCCATTTTATTGTTAAAATACAATTCATAGATAACTCTGCTTCTACTGTATGAGAGGTGAAAAACCTTATTGAATAAAACCAGGAACAGCATTTGTACGACGTAATTTTTCAGAAAAAATTTTTATCAACTGTGTAAGAAGAAAAGAAAATCAAACAAGTGTCGTTTGGAGAATTTAGTAAGCTTTTGAAAAAAGTTTTAGCCTACAAGACTTTAAATACTAGTTTCACTGAAAAATTATCAAACTTTGATGAGAGTGATGAGAGGGGAAAATAGAGTAATAATTATGTGTGCAAAATATAAAACAAATGTCATTTGGAAAAACTGATATGTTTTTGGAACACAAATTATGAAAGCTGAAGACAAAGAATGTTAAAAAGAAGCAGAAATCAAACAAGCATCATTTGGAGCAACAGGTAATTTTCTTGAAAAGAAACTATACCAGCTGAAGAAGAACAGAAAGGAAAACGAGAAATGAAACGGATATCATTTGGAGTAAGGAAAATTGGACAATATGCCAGCTGAAGAAAAAGAAGAAGAAGAACAAGAGAAGAAGGAAAAGGATAAATACAACAGTTATCATTTAAAGAAAATGATAAGTTTTTTAAAAAATTATACCAGCTGAACATGAAGAAGAATAAGAAGAAGAAGAAGAAGAAGAAGAAGAAGAAGAAGAAGCATAATTCATTTGAAAGTCATCTCGAGAAACCGCTAATTTTTTAGAAAAAGACACTATACCAGTTGAAGAAAGGAGAAGAAAAAGAAGAAAAAGAAGAAAAAGAAGCAGCAGCAGCAGAAGCAGCAGCAAAAATCAAACAAACTTCATTTGGAGAAATCGTTAGCTTTGGAAAAGAAGTTATTCCAGCTGAAGAAGCACAAAAATGAAAAGAAGAATTGAACCAGATCTTTTGGAACAGAAACTCGACACATGAAGAAGAAGATAAAAAAAGAAGAAGCAGCAGAAGCAAAAATCAAACAAATGTCATTTGGAGAAACCAAATTTTTTTTTTGCAAACAAAATTCTATCAGTTGAAGAAGAAGAAGAACAAAAGAAGAAAAAGAAGAAGAAGAAGAAGAAGAAGAAGAACAACAACAACAACAACAAGAGAAGAAAGAAAAGGATAAATACAACAGTTATCATTTAAAGAAAATGATAAGTTTTGAAAAAAATTATACCAGCTGAGCATGAAGAAGAATAAGAAGAAGAAGAAGAAGAAGAAGAAGAAGAAGAAGAAGCAGAAATCAATTGAAAGTCATCTCGAGAAACCGCTAATTTTTTAGAAAAAGACACTATACCAGTTGAAGAAAGGAGAAGAAAAAGAAGAAAAAGAAGAAAAAGAAGAACAAGAAGAAAAAGAGGAAAAAGAGACATCAAAGGAATGTCATTTAAAGAAACCGGTAACTTTGGAAAAGAAAATATACCAGATGAAAAAGAACAAAAAGGAAAAAGATAATTGAACCAGATTTCATTTAGAGAAACCGATAACTTTCTGGAAAAGAAACTATACCACATGAAGATGAAGAGGAGCAAGAAAAAGAAGAAGAAGGAGATGCAAAAATCAATCAAAGGACATTTGTAGAAACCGATATTTTTTTGAAAAAAAATAGTATTCCAGCTAAAGCAAAAGAAGAAGAAGAAGAAGAAGAAGAAGAAGAAGAACAAGAAGAAGAAGAAGCAGCAGCAGCAGAAGCAGCAGCAAAAATCAAACAAACTTCATTTGGAGAAATCGTTAGCTTTGGAAAAGAAGTTATTCCAGCTGAAGAAGCACAAAAAGGAAAAGAAGAATTGAACCAGAAACTTGACACATGAAGAAGAAGATAAAAAAAGAAGAAGCAGCAGAAGCAAAAATCAAACAAATGTCATTTGGAGAAACCAAATTTTTTTTTGCAATCAAAACTCTATCAGTTGAAGAAGAAGAAGAACAAAAGAAGAAGAAGAAGAAGAAGAAGAAGAAGAAGAACAACAAGAGAAGAAGGAAAAGGATAAATAAAACAGTTGTCAATTAAAAAATTAATAAAAAATTTAAAAAAAAAAACATTTTATACCAGCTGAACAAGAAGAATAAGAATAAGAATAAGAAGAAGAAGAAGAAGAAAAGAAGAAGAAAAAAGAAGAAGAAGAAGAAGAAGAAGAAGAAGAAGAAGCAAAAATCAATTGAAAGTCATCTCGAGAAACCGGTTATTTTTTGAGAAAAAGAGATTATACCAGTTGAAGAAGAAGAAGGAGGAGAAAAAGAAGAAGAAGAAAAAGAAGAATAAGAAGAAAAAGAGAAAAAGGAGAAATCAAGCCAACGACATTTGAAGAAACCGGTAACTTTGGAAAAGAAACTATACCGGCTGAAAAAAAAAGAAAAGGAGAATTGAACCAGATTTTTTGGAACAGAAACTATACACATGAAGAAGAAGATCAAGAAAAAGAAGAAGAAGCAGAAACAAAAATCACACAAATGTCATTTGGAGAAACGAAAATTTTTGAAGAAGTAGACAAAGAACAGAAGAAGAGAAAGAAGAAGAAGAAGAAGATAAAGAAGAAGAAGAAGAAGCAGATATCAAACAATTGTCATTTCGAGAAACTGGTGTTTCTGGAACGAAACTCTACCAGTTGAAGAAGAAGACGAGGAAGAAGACGAAGGAGAAAATTAACAATTATCATTTCGAGAAACTGATAATTTTTTGGAAAACATTTTAAATCAGCTGAAAAAGCTGAAGAAGAAGGAGAAACAGAAACCAAACAAATGTAATTTTGAAAAACCGGTAATTTGTTGGAACAAAACTTTACCAACTAACATAAAAGAAGAAGAAGATGATGACGAAGAAGAAGAAGAAGAAGAAGAGGAAGAAGAAGAATCATCTAATTTCATTCCTCCTTTCTTTTTTTTTCAGCAAATAATTTTTCAAAAAGTATAGAAATCCAAAATAACTTGAAAAACCAGGCTTTGGCATCGAAGATAAATAATAAAACTCGGAAAAAAATAAATAGAGATTTTGCTTACAATACTTCTAATACTACTTCCACTGAAAAATTATCAAACTTTTCTTTATGAGAGGGAAAAACTGTTTTAAATGAAAGTATCCAACAAAGCGGTCGGATACACAAAAATCAGAGAAAAATTTAAAAAAAGAGAGATAACCCTCATGTCAAAGAAGCACTCGGTTCTCAGTCAGAAACAAACGTGCAAAAAAAAGCATTTATGAGCTAAACGAGTAAAGACAAAACGTAAGCCATGAAAGGACATGTATTTTGAATGGTTCAATTAAAAAAAACAGTTTATGTGCAATTATGATAAACATGTCGCTTTCTCTGGGATTTGTTTTTAACTTTATGAAAGCGACAACAGTCCTAAATCAAAGAGTTCGTTGACTTGTTGCCACAATTATTCATAGTAAAAGCAGTGAATAGGCCTAATATAAATAAAAACTGTAGTGTTTACACCAGGTAGTGCATTATTGGACCTTTAAAACCAGCACATATGATGATTCGAGCCCACATATCTTGCAAATGGTTGCAGGAAAATTCACGGAGCTATGTGAATGTATAGGAGGAGTTAGATTTCCTAGAAAACCGTAAAAAGCTGATTTAACGAGTGTCATGCAAGAATTAGGAATCTCCGATGAGTAGCTAGAAAACTTATCTGATAAACTCCGGCAGATGAAGCCAAGCTTGGAAAGCTCTTAAAGAAAAAAGAAACGGAAAACATGCGGCTGATGAGAAAGGACTAACTGGAAGGAGAGTTTCTCTGCGAGTATGAGGGAACTTAAGGAAATGATATCAGCAAATTCGGGCCAGGAGTTTTGCTATGTACCTCCTCTAGATGAAGCTGCAGCTGCGAATTTCTCACAACGCGTTGCCTGGGACAACATGCTGATGCATCCGGCTGATATTGGCGGAGCTGGTGTCGCTGGACGCGAAATGGACGGATTTGAAAAAAAAAACTAACAAGGAAGATAAAAGTAATTCAAGGAAAGAACAAGTTTATCTTGGGTAAAGTCCAAGCAAGACAAGAAAATGACAAAAAGTGTTGGCGAAATTTTTAGCAGTCAGACAGACATGAAAACTTTGTATGAACTCTATTTCAGGTATTTTTCTACAGTAATGTCTTCTGATCGCCCTCTGAACTAAGTGCAAGTTAATCAATTGTACTTCTAGATCATTTAGGGAAAAATTCTTTGAAAATTTTGAGCTTAATCTACTTTTTTAATGGCAGCAGCGTTCAATGTAGGAAATAGAAAAAGAAAATAAGAAAAAATAGAAAAAAACTGAATTAATTTGAGTATTTCAACCACGATCAATATAAATTGTGAAATTGCGACAACTCTGATAGCTTCAAGGCAGTCATTACGAGGTCAAACTATGCATTTTGTGCATTGTAAACGGATTCCGCAACAGACCAGAAGCAGATTTGTCGCGGAATCCGCAACATTTATACTTTTATTTGATATTCTTTGTTGTTTAGATTCCACTAACAAAGACTTACAACATTGCACCGCTCAAAATTGCTCCAAAAACATGCAAATTTGCGGAATCCGCAACTGTTTTTGCGGAATTCAGAAAAATTTGTGGAATCCACAAACAAATAATAAGACAAACCTATAGTTACATTGAGCTGCTGCGGATTCCGCAAGTGTAAGTGGAATCCGCAAACTACAAGTGGAATTCGCAAATTGTAAGTGGAATCCACAAATTGCAAGTGGAATCCGCAAATTGTAAGTGGAATCCGCATTTTGTTTGCGGAATCCACTTATATTTGCGGATTCCACTTACATTTTGCGGAATCCACTTAAATTTGCGGAATCCTCCACAACTAACTATAATTGCTTGTTGCGGAATCCGCAACAAAACAATTGTGCCGCCAAATTTACGTTACAATTATTTGTACGCGGAATCCACGAAATTTTTGAATCCGTTTTCTTTTTGGAACATTTTAAAGAGGTGTCTCTGGAATCCAGGAACATACAGACACAAAATTGTGCGCCTATCCAGTGCACAGATTGGACTCGTAATGGTTTAGCAAACACAGTTAATCAGGGGAGTCGATTTTGTAATTATCAAGTTAGATCACACTGACAGGTAATTTAAAACAGAGTAATTATGACAGGTAATAATGAAAAAGTTTTTAAAAAAATTCCCTGAAAGTTTTTTTCTTATCACGCCTTAACTAGATAAACCGAACAACTTCAGAGTGGCCGAAAATTTTTACTAGACTGCAATGAAACAGGTGGGTGCGAAACGCGGTTAAGGTACTAGATATGATAAAATTGCCAGCATGTGTCAAACATTTTCTGTCTAATGGGCTTAAACAACAACTCCGAGACATTCTTAACGCCATCCACTTTGCAGCAGATACAGATTTTTTGTCGGTGATGAAAAAAACATGACATTCCTGTTCAAAACTATGTGAGATTGAAGCGGCCGTCAAGTCATTTACAGAAAAGTACGTCAGACACCAAAAGATAAGAGGTGTGAGAAATCTGAAAAAAAAATCTCATCAAAAACGACGGTTTAAGGCGGCACGTTTTAAAAAAAGAGTTCATTTCACAGCATGAAAAATTAGCAAATTGAATAAAGCTGACAGACTACTAGAACCAGCACAATTCGGAGAACAAGAAAACAAGAAGGACCCAGTTGTGATGAAAAACGAAAAAAAAACCCAAGCAAGAATTTTTTACCTATGAACTAAAACCTAATTTACAGTTCACAGTTAAAACAATTATTGAGAACTACGATTTGGCTTTCTTAGACAATGTTTCAAAAAATTACAACAAGAAACAATCGTATCTAAGTATTGTCGAAAACCAATGGATAAATTTACACTTCTAATTTTCAGTCGAAGCGCACCACTGCAGTTCTAGAGAAATCTTATGGAGATAACGGTACACAGAGCTTTTAGGAGCACACGTAATTGGGTACCACATGAAAGAGAACACACCAGTAGGTTTAGACATACGACAGCGTGAGGAGGACGCAACTAATGAACAATTGATTTGAGAGATCATTCAATTAACGCAACGAAAATCAAATAACTGAAAGCACTGCTTATTCAGTAAAAAAGCCTGAGCTCAGCATTCGGGATGATTTTGGGACAAAAATCATTAACTTTTTTTTATGTATTTTATTTTACCTGATTCTCAGCATTTTCTGATTTATTAAAAGATTATTGGTTGATGTAGGACATAAGGCTCCCAATTCTGATTGTAAATTTAAAGGTAACTAGAGCCAATTGTTTTGCGCCCAATTTACGATGTTTTTCAAATTGTAAAGTAGCTTTTGTGTTTTTGTGTTCTTCACTGAGGATTTTGTGTTCAATTATGCTTACCATCAATGAAATCAGCCGTGTCTTTTGACGTCAAGTCAAATGTAGTTTTCAAACGGTATTGTTGAGGATAAAACTCTATGTTGCTTATACTTTGGTACTTGACCACAAGAATTGAAAAACATAAGAAAAAAAACAATTACTTGGCAGTAGGTGACAGCAATCACCAGGGTCGAATTAAAAGAAAAGCGCAGAGGTCTGTTAAAAAAAATTAGGGATATGCCGAACAAAAAACATGTGATGTGATTTTTTATCAATTTCGAGACTGGTTGCTCATCAACAATTGCCCCAGCAGAAATAGTACAAGCTCCCAAAGGTTCTCTGATTTTTTTTATAGCAACATAAATTGACTTTAGGTGACTGTTTTATGCTGAAAATTTTTGTGATGATTTAGAAGTATCTGTTTTGAAAATGGAATTTAAGCTGAGACAAAAAATTTCCCTCTGGTGAAAACAAGGTTAATGATCAGCAAACTAGAT